CAAGAACATCCAGAAAACTCAATACTGAATGCAGAACGTGACTTGGAAGTAAGCAAAACCAGCATACATAGAGCTTTGAAATTACACAAGTTCAAACCTTTTAAATTTTCATCAGTTCAAGATTTGAGTGAGGCTGACTTTAATTCAAGATTGGAGTATTGTATTTTGATGATGGATAGACATTTTGAAAATGATATTTTCAATCATATATTATGGACCGATGAAGCAACCTTTACTACAGCGGGCATATTCAATAGAAAAAATAGTCACTATTGGACAGATAGAAATCCACATATGATAAAAAAAATTAAAAAGCAAGGTCATCGCAGTATCAATGTCTGGTGTGGAATAATCAGAGATAGGATTGTGGGCCCTATATTTTTTTGAAGAAGTTTGAATGGCGAAAGACACCTGAATATGTTGCAGAATGAAGTGCAAGCTCTGATAAACGATTTGCCAGTTCATTAGAGATAATATTATTTTCCAACAAGATGGCGCTCCATATCATGGTGTGAAACCAATTACGGACTTCTTGAATCAATCATACGAAACTTGGATTGGACGAGATGGATCTATCTTCTGGCCACCACGTAGTCCCGATCTCACCCCTTCAGATTTTTTCTTATGGGGTGCTTTGAAAAACAAAGTTTATGAAAATCGATGCGACAACATAGAACAATTAAAAGAAAATATACGAGTCGCAATCGTGAATTTGAATGAATCACATGCAGTAGCAAATACACTGAGACATATCGCGATAAGATATACTACGTGCATAGCTGAAAATGGACGGTATATAAAAAATTTGATTTGACTACTTTGTATATTCAATTGAATACAATATCTAATTGTTACTGTTGTTATGTTTACTCGTTTTCTCAGTTACTGTTAGTTTTTTTGTTTGACTATTCATTAAAGATGATCGTGTATAAGTCCGAAACGGGTGATCTCAGACCCATATTATTATAGATCATTGAACTCGTCTTTTTGAGTTCTATGCAAATATGGAATAAAATATAGGGTGTTCTATTTGGAAATCTCGAGATAATTATTGGTTTTCAAAATACGTCATCACTTTTGGCAAATTCAAAATTCCTAAATTTTCACCATAGAACATAATAATATATAGACTTTGTTAATTTTTAGCAAAAGTTGCGAATCAAAAACTTCATTCACAACGTTTCTATAGGGCTTTGAAATTAGACAATTTATTGAAGAAGATCGTGTATAAATCCGAAACGGGTGATCTCAGACCCATGTTATTATATATCATTGAACTCGTCTTCTGAAGTACTATCTAAAAGTATGATAAAATATAGGGTGTTCTATTTGAAAAAACGTATTTGTGATATGTCACAGACATATGGATCATCCTGTATAAATGACAGTATCTAAAAATTAAATGTCATAAGAAGTTATACAATTTTTATCTCGAACATTTTTCTGTATATATAATAGTTTACCAGATAAGGGGGTGGCCCAAGTTATGTGGGATACCCTGTACATATTGATTACAAAAAAATCGGATTCGAGTGTTTTTTTTTTCTTTGCATTTCTGAGAACATTAACTATATCAATGTATATATTTTACATTTTACATTATGAGAAAGAAGAGATTTCAACGAACAAAAAACGCCCAGAATTTTTTCAAAAAGCGGATATTTTGACGTGATAATTTTCGATTGAAAATTAGGGTGTTTTTTCGATATTAAGTAAAAATAAGGTAAAAAAATAAGTATTTCGAATCGAAAAAATCACAGTGTCTTTAGGACATAAAAAAGTAAGTTTTCACCAAATTTCGTGGGAACAATTTTTTTTTGTATAAGAAAAATAAAAAACCAATAACTTGATTATTGAATTTTTCACATAAATTTTGAGGTTATGTGAAAAAAGTGTGGTAACAAAAGTTGTAGGTCTCTTCATTACCTACAACTTTGTCATTTAATATTTCTCCATAGGACTTGTGGTTTTGCTGGAAATCGAGATACATCGTTTTTCACCCTTAAAACTCACCCCCTTCCACTTCCCGACCTCAGATAGCCCGTAAATTGTTTTTCCTTTCATTTTTGTTATATTCTCGTCCTTTCTCAACGGGTTTCATCCTACTATTTTTGTTTTGTTTAAAAAATTATCGACTCTGGTCTACCAAGTTTGAACTTGATTTTGATGTTTAAATCACCAACACTGTTATGGTAAATTTCCCTGTGTGGGTTTTTTACTAGTAATATTATCATTATTACTCTGATTTTCAACTGAGATTTTGAGAAATTGCATTCTCTGAATCACTCTGAATGCTCTGAACCAGAGATTATAATCTCTGTCTGCTGTCTGAACTAAGCAAAAAATCCACACATGGAAAGTAACAACAACAATGTTGATGACATAAATGTCAAAATTAACAACAATATTGGTCATGGCCTCCTAATAGGTACTGTTGTTTCATTTCAATATTAATTTCAGTGAAACTCGTATTTTTAATAAAACCCATAGTTTTGACAAGTTTAATCCAAATCTTATCTTTTATTGATAATCTGAGAAGTCCAGAATTTTCTATCTTTTCAGTTTTTCTCCAGCCCTTGAATGCATCAGATGTTCTGCAACTGATACATAGGCTGAAAAATAAAAAAAACTCAGGACATTTATGAGTTTAGTACATATCTTATCAAATGCTGTGCCCATAACATTGCAGAACCAATGTGTGACATAATTAATTCTTGTTTGACACAAGGAATCTTCCAGAATATTTTCAAATCAGCCAAAGTTCTCCCACTTTATAAAAACGAAGACTCATCACTTCCAAAAGCTACCAAGCATGTCAAAAATCATAGAGTATGCTATTCTCAGTCAATTGTCCGCCCATATTGAAAGACACAATATCTTTAGTCCTACTTGGTTTGGATTCAGACATGGTAAGAAAACATCCGATACAATTGTTCTTCTTATGGACACCATGCAGGAGGCATACGAAAATAAAAATTCTTGTATAGCTATACTAATCGATCTGACCAGGCATACGAGGAGTCGCAAATAAACTGCCCCATATTTGAAGTGAGACAAGAAAAAATATCTATCATTTTCAAACCGTCATAACTTTGGATTGGATCAACCAATTTTCAATTTCTTTCAAGATTCTGATAGCTCATTCCATTAAGTAAAACGTCAGTACTTTTTTATTATTCCACCTTCCCGACATGAAGACTTACAGGGTGATATCTGAAAATGTGAAAATTTTCGAAAAGTTTGGGATCACCCCCGTTTCACCGGGATTTATTTTTATGTCTTATTGAGGGCGATAAAATGAAGGACAATGAGTTTTCCCGAAATGGTTCTGAATTCAAGAGGATTCATACAGGATGTTTCGATGTATGGAATTTTTCACATTACATTGCAATTTACGGCAAGTTTGAGATCGCTCCGTTTGGCAGGGATTTTCATTATGTTTCATTGAGGGCGATAATATAAGATGAAGCATAATGAGTTTTCTCGAAATGCTTTCCGATTCAGGAAGATCCATACAGGAAGTTGTGATATATAATTTTTCACAATATATTGCATTCTGATGTTCAACCCACATAAACTCAACTTCAACAGAACTTCAGATTAGCTTATCCTGCTCAACGCTATCACTATACAATGTGTTGTACATTTTCAAACATACCGGGTATCATCGAATTTGTCAGACAAACCATGGTTTCCAGATTACGATTACGAAGATATTCTCGTTAGAAATTTCTATATCCTCAATAAGACGTGTGACAGAGAAAATTTTTTTTTTTTAGGCAATATTATGTTGTCTTCAAACTTCAGCGACAATTCTCGCACGATGTGGTAGTTCATTATCATTGTCATCAACCAGTATGAAATTGTCACCAACAGTTTTGGGCAACTGGAACGACAACTTCCCTAACACAATGAATGTCTTATTGATACTGAAGAGTATTCATACTCTTTCTCAAGATAACCATCAACGTGGGGCAACGATTTATCATGATACCGCCCCATGTTAATTTTATATACTTATCATTTTCTCATTATAAATATTGTGTTGATAATAATTATTAACGGCATTTTTTTTGTAATATTTCAATTTATTTCTACATCCCCTATATTCGAAAATGTACAACACATTGTGTAGTAATGGCGTTGATGATATGCCAATGTAAAATTCTGTTGAAGTTGAGTTTATGGTGGTTGAACATATCAGAATGCAATATGTTGTGAAAAATTCCATACATTCAAACATCCTGTATGAATCCTCTTGAATTCAAAACCATTTCGAAACAACTTATTGTTCGTCATTTTATTGCCCTCAATAAAGCATAAAAAAAATTCCCGGTGAAACGGGGTGATCCCAAACTCTTTGAAAATTATCACATTTTCAGGTATCACTCAGTAGGTCTCCATGTCGAAAAGGTGGAATAATAAAAAAGTACTGACGTTGTACCCAATGGAATGAGCTATCAGAATGTTGGAAGGAATTGAAAATTGGTTGATCCACTCCAAAGTTATGACGATTAGAAAATGATAGAAGTTTTTGCTTGTCTCACTTCAAATGTGGAGCAGTTTAGTTCGATAGAATCATACTTAAGAAACAGGCCACATACGGTAATTGTTAATGAAATCAAAAGTGAAACATTCATTATCAAACGGAGAGTCCCACACGGGTCTACCCTTGGCCCCCTCCATTTTCTTCTTCATACAGGGTGTTTAAAAAAAACCTGACTTCCTTACTAGGGTAGGTAGAACACTGTGCCTGCTTGAAAAAATCAGTTCTCGATCACCAAAGTAGCATTTCGCGCACTAGATACAAAAATAACTATTGCGTTCATTTCTGCAGTATATCTTTCATTTGTTTCTTCTATTAATTTTAGCACCTCTGAAAGATCTCTGTTTAGACAACAAAATAAATGATCCGACATTCATATTGATATCGGATGTTGGGCCTCCGCATCAAAGGGAATTCACCTATGAATGCAGAATCGATTCCATCAGAACTGTAGCAACAGGAAGCACGAAAAAAATGGCCAAGCAACTAGCAGCGCAGGAAATGATGGAAAAGTATTAACTCACATTGTTTTATAAAAAAACATGTTGCTATTTTTTATCTAATTTCTGGAAATCAGGCAATCCAACAGAGGTTAGAATCAATATGGCGCCTGGTTGGCACCATAGATAGGGTGAGTCATTACTAACCAGCCATAGCCTAATGGCGGATAGAGGAAGACAAGGTGAATTGATATATATGTGAGAAAATATACAGTCTGTCCAAGATAAGGTTGAACAGCATGGGGATCTCGGAAACGGTAGGAGATACGAAGTCGCTTAAATGGGGAAAAAGTTGCGCATTCGGAGGCTCATATCAAGAGCCTTCGAAAATTTTGAAAATTATTTTTAGTTTTTGAGTTATATCGAAAAAAGTGAATTTTTGGAATTTCTATTTTATTTTTTTTTCTCCGTTATTATTAGAGATACAGAAAAACTGAAAATACTTTTTCATAGCAACTTTTGATGACGTTCAACGTGGTGATACCGATTTTTTTATGCGACGTTTCGTATTTGTGGAACCATCATCAACTTTTGTTTTTTAAATACGGTCCTGATAATTTTTTCACAGATTCTGAAAGGTTTTTCTATTCTGAATTCAACCATGTACTATACAAGGTGATTCGAATGTGTTTCGACCTATTTCTATCCATCATCAATGTTTTTTCGAACTTCCAAAGGAAAAAAGCCATCAGTTCCACTTATTTCTGATCATTTAGTGTCAAACTTGATGGATTAGTTATTCAATACTGAAAAGTGAATAAAAAATATTTCACTACATCATTCGATCAATGCAGCGTTTAAAATTGTTGATGAATTCTTACACGAATTACTTTAACAACTTAACTTTGACAATACCTACAGAGACATTTATAACAAATGTTCAAAATGATAACCATTATTTTCTGAACAAAGATATGCTCTTCTCACAGTTGCTTCTAAGACATTGCTAAGCATTTCTGGGGTTATTCTACTGAATGCTTCGAAGACACTGTCCCTTAGTTCTTCTCCATCATCAAAGTTAGTTGCGTGTACAAAGTTCGATATATCCCCTAAGAAAAAATCCAGCTGTGTCAAATCAGGCGACCGCGCCGGCCAAGGGATAAAAACGCACGGACTTCTCTGGAATTTTGTACCGGAGCACCATCGTGTTGAAACCAACAGTTCTGAACTTCCGCAATCGTTAAATCATCCAGAGATCCTCAAGATGATTCTCAAGCGAATTTCTATAACGTTCGGAAGTCTGTGTTTCATGGTAAATAGAAGGAACAATAATTCGTGTACCAAATATTGCAACCCACATATTAAAGCCGAAACGGTGTTGGTGTCTCGCTGTAATGTATAAATGTTCATTTTCTCGTGAACAATAATGTGTATTTTTTCTATCGAAGCTACCATGATTAGTGATCATGCTTTCATCAGTCCAGATGATTGTTCGAAAGAAATCTGAAAAATTTTAACATTTCCTGGTATACTACTCACAGAATGTCCTGCGCCTTTCGTCATCGCCTGGTTTTAGCGCTTGACATATTCTGAATTTTTATGGACGGAATTTTTGTTTCTGCAAAATGAAATGGGTTGTTGATTGAAACCAGTTGATGAGGTATTAGTGTGTTGACTAATTTTCCTTCAAAATAAGTGGAACTGATGGCATTTTTCTTTGGAATTTCGAAAAAACATTGATGATGGCTGAAAATAGGTCGAAACACACATAAACCACTTTGTATAATACATGGTTGAATTCAGAATAAAAAAACCTTTCAGAATCTGTGAAAAAATTATCAGGACCGTATTCAAAAAACAAAAGTTGATGATGGTTCCACGAATACGAAACGTCGCATAAAAAAATCGGTATCACCACGTTGAACGTCATCAAAAATTGCTATGAAAAAGTATATTCAGTTTTGCTGTATCTCTAATAATAACGGAGAAAAAAAAATGAAATAGATATTCCAAAAATTCACTTTTTTCGATATAACTCAAAAACTAAAAATAATTTTTAAAATTTTCGAAGGCTCTTGATATGAGCCTCCGAATGCGCAACTTTTTCCCCATTTAACCGACTTCGTATCTCTCACCGTTTTCGAGATCCCCATGCTGTTCAACCTTATCTTGGACAGACTGTATTCTGCCTATTTCTAACAGAAACACAGGGCATTATTTGAATTTATGGCGATACTTTGATGAACGATATTTCAGGAATGTCTTGATGTTTTCGCCTGAAATTCACCAGCAATTTACCTCTACTGACATACCACACGATGGCGTGGCTTTCATCAGAATCAGAAAGATCAGGAAAAACACTACAAGTGCAACTCTTCAATTTGTACGGAAAAATTCGACCGGATTGGTGAAAAAATATCATACAAAATTCAGACAAATATTTCTTCGATTTCGTCAGGGCCATGAATCTCTACTCCACTAAAAGTATTTGAATCAGTTCTTTGCATATTGATATAGCAGCAGAGTTGAGAAAAGGATTATTAAAGAAAAATCAGGACTGAACTTGGTTTTTGGAAAGAATTACAACGACGATTCTCAAAATTTCCTCCTCCCCAATTTCTATACATTTCTGCATTTCTTCGGAAGATCTCTTCTGGTTTTTGGAATAATTTGCCTATTATTTCTGATCATATCTGAATCTGTATCTATCCTCTTCCTCAGTTCCTTTCTGGTGTTGACTTCAGTCTGATATACCAATAGTTTCTATAATATCGGGGACTGTATTGGATTGGATTCAAAGTTACTTATTCAACAGAAGACAAAAAACTAAATTTGGTAAAGAATTGTCAGATGAACTTATAATAGAGAGTGGCATACCACAGGGTAGTGTGTTAGGTCCATTGCTATTTATTATTTATCTGAACGATATTTACCACATTCCTGGATCACACTGTATAAATCTTTTTGCTGATGATACATTGGTTTATTGTGTACATGAAAACTTGGATCAGGCAATTGTTGAGATGAATAGGTCATTAAAAAGCATTGATACATATTTATTTAATAATAAACTCAAACTTAATACCAGTAAAACAAAAAGTATGATTTTGACATCATCTTATAAATATGATCAAATTGTCTGGGCAAATGCTGCCATAAAAATTAATAACATTGTCATTGAAAATGTCACTGAAATGAAGTATTTGGGTCTTATAATTGACAAAAACTTAAAACTAAATAGTCATGCTGATTATATTTGTAAAAAAATATCTAAAAAAATCTTCTTTTTCTCTCGTATATGTAAGAAAGTGTCTATGTATGCTAGGTTGACTCTCTTTAAAAGTTTAATTCAACCTCATTTTGATTATTGTGCAACATTACTTTTTCTACTTGGCAAAAATAAAATAGCACAATTGCAAAAGCTTCAAAATCGGGGTATGAGGTTAATATTGGGATGTAGCCGTTACACAGCAATTAAATTGATGCTAGAGTGTCTAAACTGGTTCTCAGTTGAAGAACGTATAATATTTATGACTATGATCTTTATATTTAAGCTGCAAAAAGGATTGCTACCCTGTTACTTTCATAAGTTCTCAGTAAGAAATAATGAAGTTCATGATTACAATACGAGAAGTAATAACAATTTTTACATTAAAAAAACTAACACTAAATTTGGGATGAATAGCATGTTTCATAAAGGCTCAAACAAATTCAATAAATTACCTCAATTTGTAAAAGAATCAAATTCAGTTAGACAATTCAAGTCATTATTAAAGAAGTTCATCAGTGACAGCTCCTTGTGATACTTATTGGTATTCCTTCTTTCCTTCTTTCTTCCTTCGGATTAATTGATATGATCCAATCTATCAATCTATTGATATGTATACTTTAATTTTCTTCAAATGTACTCCCATATGTTGCTTATATTTATATTTACGTAACTTAACAAGGTGGTAAGATATCCATAGATTTATAATTCATATATATATATATATATATATATATATATATATATATATATATTGTATATTAGGCTTGCCTACTAAATAAATAAATAAAATAGTCGTCTAATACTGTGAGATTAAGGGTCATATAGGGGGCTAAGAATGAGGGCCGCCACGACCTATCCAGCGATTAGAGAATTGTTTGTCTAGGTATTCTTTCACTCGTATTGAGTAATGTGCAGGTGCCCCATCTCATTTAGAGAAAATACCTCCGAAAATACCTATTTAGATTCATTTCCATACATCCATCACAGTCTTATTTTGTATTGTTTTCTGAATAATAAAAACACCAAACTCACAATTTGATTCGCTGTATGTATGAGTTGGTACATATATCTGATTCGGAAAGAATATTTCACCTGAGCATTAATTGTTCATATTTTTTTATCTCTTGGAGCGCACGAAAGGGAACTCCTAATTTATTCGGAGAACATCGTGCGTACTTTGAGAGGATAGGGAGAGGATCGAGGTAGGTATTGGAATTTTTTGTGAAAATTAGGTACTTATTTCCATGTTTTGAAAGGCCTCTTCAAGAAAATAAGTCCGGCTCTGGATTTTTTCCCATAGTATGCCATTGTGTGGTGTGTCAGTAGAGGTAAATTGCTGGTGAATTTCAGGCGATAACATCGAGACGTTCCTGAAATATCGTTGATCAAAGTTTCGCCCCGAATTCAAATACGAACGGTACGAATAGGCAAAATATATTTTTCCACATATACATCAACTCACCTTGACTTCCTCTATCTTTCATTAGGCTATGGCTGGTTAGTCATGACTCACCCTGTATAAAATCGTTAGAATGATGTCACTAGAACAGTTAAATACTTACTGTTTGTGATTTTCTTTGATTATATGACTTGACATAAAAACAATTTATCACATATAAATAATTCCATTGTGTGCCAACCAGTGCACAATTTGACAGGTCTTTGGATTGCCTAATGGCCAAAAAATTCTTTGGTTTATAATTTGGGATGAAATCCACAAGTCACTTCAAAAAGAAATAAGAAATAATATATAGGATGTCCCATTCGAAAATCGAAAGTTGGGGTCCTAAAAAACGTGAACTGAACTATAATACACAACTCCAAATTATCGTTTTTTTATTTTTACATTATTTCTGATTATTCTCAGCAAGCCCTTCCTTTTGATACCCGTATTGCTGAAGTGCATGAATAACAACTATTCCACCATCTTGGAAGTTCCGCTATGTTGGATTTAGAATAACATCACATTATTTTTCGAGTTGCTGTCAACGAGCCCTTTCATTTGATACCCATATTGTAGAAGTGCATTAAAAACAATTATTTCTCCGTCCTGGATGGTCCGCCATATTGGATTTAAAATGACGTCACATTATTTTCCGAGATACTCTCAACAAGTCTTTTTATTTGATACCCATATTGTGGAAGTGCATCACAAATAACTATTTCGCCATCTTGGATGGTTAGCCATATTGAATTCAGAATGACGTCACATTATTTTTCGAGTTACTGCCAGCGAGTCCTCTCATTTGATAGCCATATTGTAGAAGTGCATTAAAAATAACTATTCCGCCATCTTGGATGGTCCGCCATATTGCATTTAGAATAACTTCAGACACAATTTATCGTGCATTGTCATCCAAACTAAACGGTATACAAAATTTTAGCTCAATCGGTTCAAGATATCTACCTCAAAATTGAGTTCAAAAATTCCACCCGAACTAACATACATACATCCATACATTGTAAGTTGAGTAAGAGCTTTTAAAAATAGGGGAAATTATTCGTGTATAGTTTTGTAATGCCTTTTGAAGATAATCTTTTCACGTTGTTCTTGAATAATTCGAAAATCGCGGCCTCTAGGGAGAAAGTGTGAATATGCAGAATTGAACAACATGAAATTGGCTATAAAAAAAGGCTCTACATTTTTCTACTTCTTGAATTGCAAACTGAACACATAATAATATAATAATAATAATATACTTTATTTTCCTTTGGATAGTTACAAAAACTATATAGGAATAATCGAGAGAACAAAACAGTAAAATATTATTGCATCCTTAAGATAAATAATCTTTATGGGGTTAGTAACATGATGAAGTCGAGAATGGGGGAGACCACTGATTTTTTAAAATGACATTATCGTGAACTCTATACTGAAAAACTACCAGCGAATTAATTTTGAATTTTGTCATTCATGCTAAGACGATGAAAATAATAAATTTGAATATGTCCATTTCAAAACACACAATTCCTGCGCCATTTAAAAATTTTGTCAAATCATTGGTGTGACTGGTGCGACGTCTTATTCCCAACACGCCTATTGTCCTTGAACTGACCAATCACACTGCAACACTGCAGAATGACGAGGTATCAGAGAGAGATAGCTACAGTTCGGGACTAATACGTCACGACTCCACCATCATATTTGGCTGTTCGAAATATCTATGAAATATGCTGATTTCAAAACGATATAGATTCAATTCCCTTCAACTTCAACTCATAATATTGATTGTACATCAAACGTAAATCATGATTCGTCGATTGAAAGAGGTTTGCACGGATTTCTTCTCTCAGTGGTCTTTCCCATTCATTGAGTTGGCTTTTGAAACCGTTAAGCTTCACGATAGTTTTCAAATTATTGGGTAGTCTATTGAAAAGCTTTAGTGCAGAAACCTTTGATGCATTCTCTCTGATTTTGAGTTTTGCAAAGGGTACATAATAATTATTTTTCTGACTAGTATGATAATAATTATGAAGGTCACTATTTAAATTAAGCTGTTCCTTATTCCTAAAAACAAACATACACATTTCAAATATATGAATACCAGTTAGACAGTTAGAATTTTGCATTCCTTGAAAATCGGTCTACAAGAAGTTCTCCTATGGCGGACGAGTATTGTAATTATGATCCGATTCTATTCAAAATTGGAATCTGAGGGTTTTTGGGGTCGGAGATTATGCATATTAAACATACATCGTAATATCCTCTTTTGTGCTACCAACACGTCGGTCACTGTTACTGAATTACCCCACAAACAAACTGCATATCTCAGTCGAGAGTCAACTTGAGCAAAGTAAAAGTTCAAAAGTTGTTGTTTAATCAATAAGAATCTTATATTCCTCAATAGCAATGTAAGAGGAGATAATTTTGGGGCAAGATTCGAGCATTGAGATCTTCAGTTGAGACATTCATCCATAGAGACACCTAAAAATGTGACAGTTTTCTTTTGTTCAACATTTGCATTATCACCAGCCAGATTTATAGGTCCTGCACTTTTTGGCCATATATGAAATCTCACTAAGTTAGTTTCAGTTCGATTGAGGTAAAGATTATTGGAAGAAACCCAGGTACTGAGAGAGTCTAGTACTACACTACTCTTGGCAGCAATATTGTTATCAATTTTGTCTGATATTATCAGAGATACATCATTAGCACATAATATAAAATTGGTATTGGGTGATATGGCACTTATTTCATTTATATATATGATAAACAACATAGGGCCCAATATAGATCCTTGTGGTACCCCAATGTCCGCAAGTGATGATGAGACATTTGTATTTTCTCTCTCATTTCTATAATTGATGCAAACAAACTGCTTACGTTCAGACAAAAATGATGAAACCCAATCAAGTGGGGTTCCTCGTACACCAATATCAAATAATTTATTCAACAACTTTCCATGATTTACACAGTCGAATGCCCTGCTGAGATCACAGAAGATGCCAACAGGGCACTCGCTATGCTCCACGAAATTAGAGAGGATATTTTAAAAGGCTGAAACCATGCTGGCAATCAGAGATCATGTTATATTTATTCAGAAAAATGCTAAGTTGCTCCAAATAATAGTGTTTAAAAATTTTAGAGAATCCAGATGGTACAGTGATAGGTCTGTAATATTCAATTTTTTGAGGCTCTTCTAAAAAACAGGTGTAATCTTACCAACTTTTATTTTATTAGGAAATTTTCAAACGATAATTTTACAAGATATGTTAAAGGTTTTGTAATAAAACAGAGGATTCTTCTTATGTGAAATGATGGAATTTCATCAAAACCCGATGATTTTTTATTTTTCATTTTAAATGTGATCAAACTGAACAGTTCGGCTTTGTATGTTTCTAAGGAGAATGTATGATAATTCACTACTTCAGGAAAGCGATCTGGTACAGCTGTATTTTCGACCATCTTAGGAATATAATCAACAACATCATACTCATAAGCGTATTAGACGAGTGTGATTCATTTCCTAAAGTGACTTTGAATTTTTTTTAGGATAAAGGATGTCCTACCAGAGTTGGCTCAAAGTTGCCCGAGACAGACAGAAGAGAAGGCAATATGTGATAGTAATATAGTTGAAGAAGTTCATACCGAGTATAATGATCTATTTGGACAAATCGTTTTCGATAAATCGGTCAAAGTAGAGGACTATCCGTATGCAATCAAGAAATTGATGGAGAAATTCGAAAGGACCATCAGTGACTTCGAACAAGTAAGTATAGTAGTGACGTGCAATGCTATCCATGTTAGCAACAATTAAAAAATGTGAAAAGCAGAAAACAAAGATGGAGATCATCCGACATTGAGCCGCTCCGTTTCCGTAATAAATCCTGACATGTTGCCTACTCACAAAACTTGATTGTGAATTGTACCAATGATTGTTGCATTATCACATGTCGCCAATAAATCTGTAAATTTTAGAATGTCGCCAAATTCAATTTAATGTCGCATTTCACCAAAAAAGTAGCCTCAAATGCGATAAATCGCCACACCTGGCAACATTGCCCCTGGCCGGTGGAAATCGGCCACGCTCTGCGTCGCCACGGCTCGAGTGTCGATGGCTTGCAGAAAGCAATGCTTTTTCGCTCCATATGAATTTCTCTTGATCAACGCAATTGCTTTGCTTCCATTTTAAATGGGATGCTTATTTGCTTACACAGACTAGAGCGCCAATAGCGGCGGCGCAGCGGGTGGTTTATATTAGTTTTTACGGATTGTATTGTATTATTATGAGTTGTGAGAGTATTCAGACATATAGTAGATCTCATAGATGAAAAACCCAAAGTCATCTCCACAACTTTTATTGAAATGATCAAAGATCATCAATGGTACATGTTTCGGGCTTATATAAGCCCATCATCAGCCGATAAAATATTTCAAAGTTCTAGAAAACACCGGTATTGACTTAGGATATAATGCAATGATTGATTACTTATTGCATTATATCCTAAGTCAATACCGGTTTTTTCTAGAACTTTGAAATATTTTATCGGCTGATGATGGGCTTATATAAGCCCGAAACATGTACCATTGATGATCTTTGATCATTTCAATAAAAGTTGTGGAGATGACTTTTGGTTTCTCATCTATGAACTACACCACTCCACTTTGAGTTACCAAGGACTTCTTCCAAAGATTATATAGTAGATCTATTTCAGAAATGAATGTACAGGATTATCCATCGAGAAGGCCCACCCTCATATTTTCCTCATACTTTCACTTAGAAAAAAAAATAATATGCGGAAATTTAATGCCGCAATGAGACCTTTCTAAGGCATTCATCAGAGGTTATACAGGGTGATTTCTAAGAGCGTGGCAAACCACAAATCAATTTTTTTAAATGGAACACCCTGTTTTTTATATTTTTTTCGAGATCTGTGATCTTTTGCGATCACAAATATATAAATATACAGTATGTTATCTCTTACTGTTTTTCGTTAATTACAATTTTTGTGGTCCAGAACCAAAATGTGTGTGTGATGGCATCAAAATAAATCAAGTAAGCTTTGAAACCGAAACTATTTGACATGTCGTGTCCTCATGTTACCGTCACAAAATACGTTCGAAAACTGTTTAGTTATTTTGTGTGTCGTAATTTGTCGAAATGTTTACAATCGCAGAAAGATATGATATAATGTCTTTATACATAAAAAATAACAAAAACGCTTCAGAGGGTAAACAATTACAAAATTCATCAGGTAAATATATAATTTCTGATTGAACATTCTAGCTCGGAGAGAATATGCCTGATTATACCCTGAACGAGCTTTACCTAATAGAAGAACTTTTCAAAAATTGAACAGTAAACTTGAATCCACTGGAAACCTAACCACTAAGAAAAAAATGTTTCAGGGTAACGAAGAGCGCGAGTTGAATATCTTATTATATTTTCAAGAAAATCCCAACTGTTCCTTGACTAGTGCTGTGCGGACTTTGGGTTGTTCCTATGGCACCATACACAGGGCTTTGAAAAGAAATAAATTCAAAGCATATAAAATCATGCCAGTGTAAAAATTGAGCGATTACCAAATACATAATAGGTTAAATTATTGTAGGCATATGATTGGTAGGTTAGAAGAAGATCCTAACTTTTTTTAAAATATATTGTGGACCGACGAAGCTACATTCACAATATTCAACAGACAGAATAGTAGACACTGGGCGTCAGAGAATCCCAATAAAATTTCTCAAATTAAAGTTCAAGGAAGGCAATCAGTACACGTCTGGTGTGGTCTTTTTGACCAAAAAATAATTGGCCCCATTCTATACAATGGCAATCTGAATGGAAGAATTTACTACAATTTCCTAACAAATGAAATAAGAAATTGTTTACGACAAGCCGACCTACCTCAAAATATTATATGGCAGCAAGATGGGGCTCCTCCGCACAATTCAAGGGACGTGAGAGAGTTTCTGAATGCCCAATACCATGAATGGATTGGGAGGTTTGGAACTATTTCATGGCCAGCAAACAGTCCAGATCTGACGCCACTAGATACTTTTTTATGGGGCTACTTGAAAAATAAAATTTATAGTGAACCAACTGAGAATATTGACGAACTTAGATATAAGATAATCGAAGAAATTGATTGTTTGAATAGGGAGCGCTCGGGAATAATATCAAAATCAATAATCAATCTGGAAAAAAGGTATATGCTTTGCTGTGACCATCAAGGCCAGCATTTTGAGCAATTTTTGTAGTTAAGTATATGAGTTCTGTAATTTAAATTTTGTCTGTTAGATCGAATTTGTTACAATCAATATAATATTCATGATCGTTATGATTAAATAATTGTTAGAAAAGTTTTTGATTATTTTCAATAAGTGGTCACGATTTTTCTGCTTGTATTTGATAATGTATTCATGTAACGGCGAAGCTTTTGAATTCTTTGCCAATGGAAGAATTCCCTAGAACTTATAACCTCCAAAAGTTCAAAAAAAATTTCAACACCTACCACATCTCCCTATCCTCCCTAGGTATGCACGCTCCAATAGATGAAAAAAAAAATAACGGGAGTCGAATACATTCTCAATCATGGATAACTCTATAGTTGCACGATAAAGATGCCATCCCACACAAAATCTTGTTCTGGGACCAGGAAAATTGTGATTAACGAAAAACAGTGAAAGATAACATACTGTATATTTATATATTTGTGATCGCAAAAGATCACAGATCTCGAAAAAAATATAAAAAACAGGGTGTTCCATTTAAAAAAATTGATTTGTGGTTTGCCACGCTCTTAGGAATCACCCTGTATAACCTCTGATGAATGCCTTAAAAAGGTCTCATTGCGGCATTAAATTTCCGCATATTATTTTTTTTCTATGTGAAAGTATAACGAAAATATGGGGTGGGCCTTCTCGATGGATAACCCTGTACAGGGTGCTTTCTAAGTACGTGTAGAAAATTCAGAAGCATGTTGCTGACGTCAAAATAAGAATGAAAGTTCGTATAAATATCTGTGCGAGAGTTATTCGTTTCTGAGATACAGAGTGTCAAGGTTGAATTTTTATATTTGTTTTTTGTTTTTGAGATTGAAATTTGGCTCGTAAGATTTTGCGCAATTTTTCTCTTGCTTGTCTGTGGATCTTCTTCGATTGCCTGAAGAACAGCTTCTTTAATTTCTGTAGTCCTAGTATTCAACGGTCTGCCTATCACTGGAGCTTTTCTTAGAGGATCCAGACTCCCATAAGACGCTGAAAAATGTTTCCGAACGTCTGGTGATTCGGCAGTGGATGATTAGGGAATCTTTCATTCTATTTGTAAAATTTGTAAAATCTGTATATCGCTACTTCAAAGTTGGGAACCAACTCCCCAGAAGTCGAAACTTGTGCGGGGTTAGGAAGAGCGGGACCTACAGCTTATAGTGGAATCTGAACCACTTCTAGGGCATCTAGGTGCTATTGTTATTTTTTAAATTGGAAGAGTCCAAAAAAGTAGGTACAAAGAAGTAAGAATCATCTTTTGCCGATATTCCAATGTTGAATGTAGGAAAATATTGAATGAAAGAAGAAAAATGCACTGACGTATCTTTTCTGATATTTACTACTTAAAGGCGACTAACCCCAATAACTCGAAAACAGTTGCTCGCAGCGACCTCTACCAGGAATATCACTTTTTACGCACAAGTGTTCTAGGAATCTAATTTTCTACTATAAAACATGATACAGGTACGCTAGGTACGCTCAAAAAAGTTATGACTTTTCAAAAGACTCGAAAGACATGTATAGGTGGCGCCACCCCCACGAAAGAGAGAAATTAACATAACATTTGATATTGTCATTGAAAAATACCCCTAGATACCAAATTTTATTCCAATATCAATATTATCTATTTATTAACAAAAAACAAAAATGAGAATTGAACTTTGACACTCTGTATCTCAGAAAAGAATAATTTTCGGACATATATTTATACGAACTTTTCTTCTTATTTTGACGTCAGCAACATGCTCCTGAATTTTCTACACGTACTTAAGAAACACCCTGTATATTCGCAAAAGAAAATTATGTAAAAAACTGTGTAACGATAATTTTAATTTTTCAAGGTTAGGCAATGCTTTATGCTTCTATTGTATGTACACCACTGATTAGTATAGTTACCCCTGTTTGACATTCAATAATACATTGTAAAATTTCATGGAAATATTTATTTCTTGGATTTATTTTTCATTTCTACTAATTTTTTTCAAAAATCTCAAACAGAAAAAAATTAAAAAAACATTTAGTGCCATTAGAAAAATTGTTGACAGTCGCTGACGTTACAGTTGGGATTTGAAAAAATAATGATCAGAGCCTACTTATAGTATCTGATGAGTCATTTCATTTTCCATTTGCTTTTTTGTTTTTCCAAAATCGGCTGCATATCACAGTTTTCAAGATATGTGATCTTTCTGAAAATATTTACCGACGTAGTAGCTATAGTCTTCACAAAGCAAAGTGACTTTATAAAGACCATTGTCGATCTAAATGAAAAAGCTAGTTGTAGGCGAGAGGTATAATATTGTCTGTTCATTAAACCAAAATTTGTCTGCCTGTCATATATGGCGCTACTGTATAGACTGTCAAGACGTCAAGAGCTGTTTTAGGTTGAATTTGTCTTCCTCATTTTTTTTTCAACACAGTACTCAACTAGTCAACCACAGATATTGATAAAAGAAAAGAATATTCGTAACTGACAGTTTTGACCTGTGGTGATTGACAGTTTTT